CTCGTAACTAATTGTAAGAAATGAAGCATTATCGGATATCATTTTTTATTCTTGACTTTTGCCTTATTTTGGTTTCTAGAATCATTCCTTAAAATTTCTCCCACTAATAGCCGAACACCTTGTATATGTATTAAATACATTCTTTATATTTTCTGCAAGTTCATGCAAATGGATAAAATCCGCAGTCTAATTGTAATTGTTAATACTGCAAGAGATTTAGATGTGCTTCAAAAACCCGAGAGAATAACTACGGTGAAGGTATTTGGTCGCGTGCAAGCAATTCTTAATTCCCGTATCCATCTCGTATTCTTTTACCAAGATAAGCTGAACAATCGCGTTGCGTGCAGTAAAGATACGATATCAACGTTGCAATGAGTCACGAATTTTTCTACGCCCGCGCGTATCTCTGCAAAACCGTGAGTCGAGAATCGCGTTTGATCTTTAAGATGTAAATCTTACGTGACGTGATGCCTAGTACGCTGAAAACGTCGATTGTCCCAACGATACGAAACGCCGGCTATACCACTTGACATGCAATGATGTTAGTCAGAAAATTCGTCAAATCAATTAGCATCAAATTCAAACAAAACCATTTAAAAAGCAAAGCTCGCTAAGCGTGTCATCATCTTACATTTGTTTAAGTTTTATTAAGCGAACAAGCCACATTTGCATCGGGTAAAAGGTTCATAGTGGCAGGTGACTTCTTGCATGCGTTAATGGAAAATAAAAAACATATTGCCTTTCAGGAAGGAAATACTCACCCGTCTTTGGATAATCGATTCACTTTGACAAACAGTACGCATACCAAAATGAAAAGCAGTAACAGTGCTCCGAGGGTGATTCCACCTGCTATAGCGAAATACGTCAACAACTCGTTGACTTCCTGGAAAGTTAAACAAGCGAGTTTAAACCCGTGTTGATAAGGAGTTTTACCGCTTCCATACCGGCGGCTATCTTTTGAAATTCCCCAACATTGACGATTTATCTGGCGACATACCTAATTATTTACTTTAAAGAACGAATCCGTCGATGCGGTAGTCAACTGGATAAGCCGAAAAGAATCTCGTCGATAAAAGAGTTTCGAAGATATTTAATGTACCAATGAAACGAAGTCGCTCTCGTAAAGATGATCATGTATGCGGTGTTAACGGAATGGAGTGAGAATATAAGAATGCGAAGGAATCTTTGTCACGCACGGTTGCAGCGCACTTCCTCGAGGCGGTATTTCGCAATCCGCGTGCAATGCGTCGGATGTCAACATGCCATGAAAGTTAATAAACATATCGAACGCAAACAGGAAGTTTGTGAATCGCGTTTCGCAATACGGAACATTCGGAAATTGGAAAAACGAAGTAAAAGTGGGAAAAGGTGGAATACCCTCAATTTACTCTCACTGAACATTTTGCACAATATATTCCTACGCTAATTGCAATCGAATTGTTTATGCAACCGGCGGCGCGGAGAATCGCTTTCATCGCATAATTCCAGCGACTCTTCTTGCGCCAATCCGACCTTCAGAATAAATGGTTGCATCTTTAATAGGTAACCGCTCGAGTGGCCGCAATTAATGTTACAAAACAAGCTTTAGTACGACTCCACGATTAGCCTCAATTCTTGTGAAAACGTTAATACGCGTGCGATACGATCCATACCAACAATTGTCTGATTTAATTAACTGTTTACAAACGCTGAGTGACATACAATATCAAACGGAGTCACTATTGTTTGACCGAAACAATTACTCGGAATGAGTCGTTAAACGAGCACAACCATTCACCTGATCATCATAATCGTGAGCCGACCTTGATGTACATATATGTGTGTATTAAAGCGAAATCATGTCGAAAGATGTGTATTCTGTCATAGTAAGAGTTTGAAGTTTAATGACTAAGTTTAATGACTATAAGTAGATACCAATCCATGCAGTACATATCAAGAGTACCAATTAAATATACAAATAGTTGCGTTTTCAAGTTGAGTTTAAATGAAATAATGCGTGTAAAAAGCAGCAGATTGTGTTATACTCACCATGATAAATGTATTATGACTGAGTAAAGCGGGACCTCCTTCGTGGAGACAATACTAGCTGGACTAGAATATACAATCAAGATATCGTTATCAGCGCGTTATCGTGGTCGGCGCGATATCTGCAAAAATCTGGCGGCATTGTGCAGCTCCCGTTCAACGAAATTCTTAACTAGTTTTAAAATACGATACGTAGGTAAGTAACAGGACACAATACTGTAGTACTCGATGTCATCAACAACTCACAGGAGACAATTAACAAACGATACAATTGTTCACCAAAAGCGAGCGTATAAGGAAATTCTCGCGGCAAAACTCAAACGGAGCCACAGTGAAAACAAGGAAGTGGTAGTGGAATAATAACAAGCTCGGAACTTCACGAGGTCAATGTCGTTGCTGCACCTTTTATACACAATTGTAAATTCCGTTCGTCGTTACCGGATAGAACATGTGGCTAGGTAAACGAATACTAATGTAAGACTGCTGGTCGAGTAAACCGTGTAGCAGTGCCAGCCAAGCAACGCTGATAAACCCCTCCAGCCTGTGGAAGGTGTACACGTATACAGGTGTGTGCGCGGCTGATTTCTTGCAAGGGCATCCGCGGTGTTCTCCGCATTTCGATCGTCCAAGTGTCTACATTTTACGGTAGCACATTTACGTGGGCATTATTCATTTTCGCATATATCTATCTGCGCAGACATGCGAAACAAAAGACAGTCACACGTGAAAGACGCTCATGTACTGAACGCACCTGTGTCAGGGAGCGACTCTGTAAATATTGTGACAAACCATTTTTCTAGCGTACGTGAGTTTTTGCCTTATTACTGTTTGTTCTGTTATCGTTCTTACTTCGTTCTTTTACGTTCGACTGTACTAATTCGTAGAACTATGGTAAGGTAATGACATTTTAATAAAGTGGTTTCCAAATATATATTTTAAACATAACGACATATACATGTAAAAGTATCCATGTATTATGTTAAAAAAAATATATGTCATATGTACATGTATAAAAATAATATTTATAAAAATGTGATATTAAAATTGTATTAATTGTGATGCAAGTATATAATATATTTACAAGTTATTATTACATTTTACATATTTACAAAACGTCAATTAACGTTATGTTATGTGAAGACTTAGACTCGTGAATAGATGGCATTAACCATTGGAGCACATGAGGGAGCATCATACTCATACTTAGATATAAGTGGTAAGGAATAGGCTGTGTATTACCAATAGGACAAAACCATAAACCTCTTCTTGTAGCATCTCTTATATGATGACTTAAAAAGCTTGTTAGCATCATCCATGTATAATAACCAAGCTTTGGGTGATTAAACACATTTGCATAAAAATTTAGCACAAGCCACAATACTATAGGGAGTGTTGTGCAATGGAAAAATGGACGTTTTTGTAAATGCACTGCATCCTGAAATGAAAATATTGGTATCTTTCAGTATTTTTATTAAAACTTCATAATTTCTTATTATGATATGTAGAACCCAATATTTCTACTCTCAATTATGCCATACTTGTCAAAGTACAATGCTTAAGAAAGTATATGTTTACGTAGAATCAACTTCTTTTATTAATGTAGTAACATGTTTACTCTCTAAATCATTAAAAGAAGCTATTACTTACGCTTAACCTCCAACTGCACGCAGCGATAAAATGGTCCACATCGATAAAAGAGGATAAAGCGAAACACCAAACGATGCTCGAAAAGTTTTGTACCAAAGACTTTTTCGACAAATTTAAAATAATTGCCCAGGAGAGACCACCGACTATCGCGTGAGTGACATTGTCAAAAATCGCGCGGGCTGCGGCAGTCTTTCCATATTTCAAACCTTGATCACCAATAATTGAACAAATACCAATAGCACCAGTGAGCGCTAACCGTAAAAACATATCTGTTTTCAGTAGAAACATTACATCAAGCTCCTTGAAAATAAGTTAACATTTGTTTTTATTAAATTCTTTGTGTACAGAAATTTTCAGGAAGTAAACGTTATAAATTTTATCCCGCCATTTTGTATTCAATTTTGATATAGTATGTGCCCCTGTATATAACATCTTATATCGCATTTTAGCTACTATACTAGTTTACGGACATCGCAAAAAGTGATCCGAGAAATTTAATATTTTTAAACAAATTTAGCATTAATTTAAAAGTTCTATCAGTCTGGATCAAATAAGTTTTATCGTAGGATGCTTTAATTAATTAGTTAAATTTAATTACTATGTGTAAAATTTAACACTTTAGTCATCGAATACCGGGCTAAGACATTAATCAAAATAAACCGTCCTGACATTTAAAGTTTACTATTGGTATATTATACGAGGACGGTTCACAAATTTTGTTTCATTAGCTATACTACAAAGTAGAAGAGAAAAATATTTCTTCGTAGTTCTCGCGGCAAAATCGCATCTCACTATGGTAAATAGTGTTTTCACACAATTGAAAACGGTTTCAAACGTACGTTGTTTTGAAAATCGCATATGTCATGTAGCATTTGTTCGAAGGTTTGACTCCATTGCAATATCGTGCAATATAACCGACAAGTGTGACTAGTATTTATTTAAACCATTTCCCAAGACAATACTTTCTATGTATCATTGGTAGAGAGCTGTATAAACCGATAAAAATGTCGAATTTCAAGGTAATGGGTAATGGTTGTTCGCGATCCTGTGCAATAGCTTTTTTTCACGATGGCGGCACGATGTTTTTGTTTTATTATTTACTGGAATTTGTCAATGAACATACATATAATTTACTCGAATATCGTACATAATGAATAGATTGATAACAGTGCATATGCACAATTTGTTTAAATCCAAGATGAATTTTATTATTTACGATTTTTCTTAATATCTTTGCAGCCACCTGACTCTAAAAGAGAAGAATTTAGGAAGTATTTAGAAAGAGCAGGGGTTCTGGATGCTCTTACAAAAGTACTTGTATCGTTGTATGAAGAACCAGAAAAACCAGATGATGCGTTAGAGTATCCTTTTTACAAAAGTGTATTTAACGAGAAAGTGTTTATAATATTGTTTGTTTTTAATATATGAAGTGTATTCTGAACAAGTTATATCCTGAACAATATCATAGATATATTCGCCAAAATTTAGGGGGTATCACAGAAGCTGATATTGAAGTTGAGACATTAAAGAAAGAGTTAGACGAAGCTAAAGCCAAGATAACAGAGTTAAAAGCAAAATTGGTTAAATATGAAGCAGATGAGGGTGCAGACAATTGAACCACGCGAAATACTAAACTATAACAGAATACTAGTCCCTGCTGGACACTGATTTTCACATGAAGTCAGACCAACCATGTGCCTTACAAAATAGATGTAGCAAAACATTTAAGAGAGTTTAAATCATAAGATAAATTAATTCTTTTCTTTTTTGACAAATTTCATTAGTTGTAAGTCCATTTTCAAAATGGAGTTCACAGAAGTAATAAGTGACACTCTCTACATA